TTGTCTCGTCGAGCCGCTCGATTTGACTATAAGCATGTCATGTTTGGAGACCGTTTGCTAATGCAAATTGTGGTTCGAACCTTCCAACAATGCTTTGGGTCCTTGATTTGGACTTATTTGCGCTCGGATTGAGTCGAATTTGGTGTCGTTGGGTTTGTATTTCTGAGACGCTTAGTTTGACTGTAAGTTTGCTGAAATTGGAGTTCGGATGGTTCCAATTTTAATTTCGGAAGTTTCCAACTTGATTTTGCCTCGAGATTCGTGCCCGATCAAGATAATTTTTTGATGACATATTAATTGAGTTTTTCAGCAAGCTGGTTCATGATCTCTATATCGAAGATGAATCAAATTTTTTAGCAAGCATTTTATCAAGCTTGCTCACAAGGTTTAAATAATGTTATTCATAAACATAAAGGAGTTGAACTCATAACTATGCAATCTTGTTTATTTAACTATCAAGTATTTAAAAAAATTGTTCAATTTTGTTTGATTATTTAATCAAACAATCATGAATGAGCTATAATCAAGCTGAGTCATGAATAGTTTGTCGAATACTTGGTTTGTTTGTAGGTTCAAAATTAAGAAGTTTAGAAGATCAAAGTGTAGAGTCACTGGTAGGGCTACAAATGAATTAAATGTTCGAAGAGCTCTCGTGGCCCAGCTCCATTACATCTCGTTCATGATCGTTTGTCTAAAAAATCAAATAAGTATGAGCAATTTTTGGAATACTTGACCGGTAAATAAACATGAATAGTTATGTACTCTGCTTGTTTATGTTCATGAACATTATCAATTAAAGCTCATGAAGAAGCTTGATTAAATCATTATTTTGTATATTTTCATAAAATTTTTATAATAAATTATAATAAAATTATAAAATTAATAATTATAATATAAATCATAAAATTATAATAAATTATTCTTTGAATATAAAAATTATTTACATTCTTTATATTATACTACTTCAATATAATGTATTTTTTCATAAACAATCGGTATTTATTAATGTTTGTAGTTTTTTTTTTTTAAGTGTTCATGAATAAACTTGTTTATAAGAAGAATCATTTTATGAGCTTGTTTATTAATGATTCATGTTTGTGCATGAACTGACACATATATATATTTGCGAATATGCTATAGGTGATTGTTTGTTAATAGGTTTGATAAGAATTAGTTTGTTTGAAGCCTGATAAGCATAAATGAGCTGAACATGAACCAAACATAATCCAAACATGAATATCCATTCTTTCAAATTAACTAAACCTGAACACAAACAAAAAAACTCGAATCGAGCACAAACCAAGCTTAAACAAGCAAATAATAGACAGGCTCAAACTTAAACAAACACATACTCGACTCGGCTCAGATCATTTGCAACCCTAATCACTGAAAAAGACGTTTAATTTATTATTTTTTAATTAAAGCTTAGTACTTCTAGCTTATTGGATATTATATATAAATTTAGATAATAAGTAATACTAGTGACATATATCTATCAATGATGTAGGCCCTCATTTTGACTAATTTTATGTAGAACAATATGAGGCTCAATACGATTTGTATGCCCAAATTCTGTTGCTACGAATATCATTTTCATTATGCAAAAACGTCAAAAGAGATAACATTTTTTATGAAGACAGGAAATAAAGCTCATTTTTTATATTGTCGTACAAAGATAATAATTGATGTGATTTTTTTAATGAATTGATTGATTAAAACTTGTTGTGATAAAGAAAATATTTTTTATTTACATACAATAAAAAATAAAAATATTTATGACTAAATTTATAAAAACAAAAAAATATTTGCATTTAAAATCTTCTGTTCTAAGACAATTTATTTTTGGGGTTTTTACATACCTAACACTTAAAAGTTCTTTATTTACTTATCTAACACCTAAACTTTAATATTTACTATCCTATCACCTAAAAACTCTTTCTCTCATCAAATATAGCACTTATAAAAATAATAAATATTATATAAATTTAAAATAAGATTTAAAAACTAAGAGCCTGTGTGGATCCATAGTTAGGTTTAGTTTGGGACAACTTTCTTACTACTTTGCTCTTTAGATCATAATCATATTTTTTGTAAATTTTTGTGTTAGGAAGCTGTTTTTTACAGTAACTTTTAAAAAAAATTATTTTCTCTATAATAGCTTTACAACTAAATTTATAAAAAATTATAATTGTACTAAATAGAACATTATAATGCAAACAAATATCAAGTAGTTAAGATTCAAAATTTAGGCTTTGTTTTGGATAATTTTTTTATTGTTTTCTAAAACAATTTTTTAATACAAAAAAATTTAGTTTAAAAATTTTATCTACTAAAATTTATTTTAAAAAATAGTAAAAAAAAACAGTTCCAAACTAAGCCTAAGCCACTTCATAATTAATTTTTTCATTTTTGTCATGAGTACAATTTAATATATCACAGATGATTGATATAGACTAGCAATTAGATTGCTTGATTGTGATCTTAAGTTTATCCCTTAAAAAGAAGCTATCATTCCCTTTTTAGAGGGGATAGAATATATATATATACATCATAAATAATTGGAATATATATATCTCACCTCCTTAGTCGGAGGAGATATTATTATATGTGGTCACCGAAATGTTCGGAGGCAAATCAGAGCTCGCCGCGTAAAAAAAAAAAAAAGAAGATGTGGTGTGCTCTGATTTGCCTCTGGAAGATGTCCGGTGACCGCACAGAATAATTTTCGAGTCGCAGCGTCGATCTTCTATTTGTGAGGTGAAAATAGCATACAAAATTAACTAACCTAAGCGTGCAAGGATATTAAACCTATTTAATGGATATCTAGAATTTAAAAACTCATTTCAATATAAATAATTAGAAAAATATGAAATAAATTACCCAATGTTCCTAATATTCCCTAGATTAATATAAAAAATATCCTTAAATAGCTAATATATATGCTGGTAATGGTTAATAATTTTGCAAATTTCAATACTTATTAAATATAGCTAATGATTTCCAAAATTCTTGTGAAGTGCTCTAGAGACTTAGAGATTTATGGCCTAAATTTCATGAGAATTGGATATTATTTGTTTCATTTAAGCAATTTTCAATGTTTAGGATTATTTAAATTAAATTGTAAATGACCTAAATATTTTAAACTTCATATATGCCGGTTAACAGGAAGGATACCTGCTTGGAACAATCTGACTGGTTGGATGGGTTTGCTTCATTGCTTGAAGATGTTCGTGATGACCCTAAGGATGATTTTTATGCATTGTATGTGTTGAATGTTGGATCCGTTAATGATGCATTCTCACGTGGGAGTTCCAAACGTGGTAGACGATAATTCAAAAGAAATTAATATGGTGTACTGTTCAATTTGGAGGTGGTTGGCTTCGGTTTTGTCCTTGGGTGCTTTCTTGGTTCTGCGATTTATTGGGTTAGTGGCTTTATTGCGGGTGTTGATTCCTCGATACTTTTGAACAATGATGAGAATGCTTCCTGCATTCCCCCTGCTTGGCTAGACTTGCTGGCAACTTTAGTGGGTATTTTATTTCTTTGTTCGGTGGTCTTTCTTTAGCTTGCTGTCGGATACAGTTCATTTATTGTTTGCTTATGTTTTCCTTTTGGCTTGTTACCTCCAATGGATGGTCCTTGTCTAGTGGCTGCGTAGTTGCAGGATGCTGCAATTCCTGAGTCTGATTGGCATTATCGCCTCTCTATAGTATTGTAATTGATTATGTTTGTTTTGAATCCTTGTTGTAATATCTTTTTATTGAATGCAATGAGGTTTCGTCCCCTAAAAAAAATGGAAAAATATTAAGAAAATGAACTCCAAACCCAAAATTTTTAAAAATCAATGGATTGATATAAATTAAATCTAAAGTTTATTGCTCACTACATTTAAAGAAATCCCTATTGTACTTAATTTTAAAATTATTATAGAAATATAATTATTCTCCAAAAATCTCCAAAATTGGTTGGATTTGTGCATAGGTTCTCTATAATTTTTCCACAAAATTATATGACCTTGAAAGTCCTTTAGGACAAATCATTATTAGTAAAACATTGGAGTTTCATTGATCTGATAAGGGCCAAACATAAACCGACCTTAGATCGTTTGACCAAATAGGCCACCTTGGTCTTCATTGAAGTCTAATTTGTTGACAAAGGACTTTACATGAGCCTAAGATCGGCTTAGGTAGCATAGGTTCAAACATTTTAGGCCCATAAGCTTTCACCTAAGGCCCAAATGCTCAGATATGGTATTCCTTATCTTAAGTCCATAAGACTTGGGACTAGGCCTAGTACAAATCACCATGGGTTTCTAAATCTTAGCATAAATTTAAGGTCTTGGCCCAATGGCCTTACGCTTACTTGGTTGATCCAAAACGTGCAAGTTACCTATCTTAGGTTCATTTATTTAGCCCAAACAAGTGAATCCAATGCTTAGATTAGGACTGCGGTGTAAGTGAGTTGGTTTGCGTTCGACTTATTTATGGGCACGCGAGCAAAGCTTATTGAGCTCGAGCTGGATGAGGCTCAGCTCGCGAGCTCACGAGCCGACTCAATTTACTAATAATATTTTTTAAATAATTTTTTTTATGTATTAAATTTGAACAGGTTAATCTTGCCTAAAAATTAACACTAAATGTTTCAATCCTGATTCCTTCCTAATCCCGCTTGAATTCGTGGCGGATAGCATTAGAGGCGCTCTCGTGTCTCAAGGCGGTCGCGTCTACTCATGCTGCGTGCACATGGCCCATTTCAGTATCATGAGTTGAGCTCGGTATTTGACTTGCGAGTCGAGCTCAAACACCCCCTGACTTAAGCTCAACTCGACATTTTTACACCCCTAGCTTAGGTTCAATTCAAATTACAACTTTATTTGGGGCGACTTTTTTAGTGATTTTCAAAATAATTTTTTAATACAAAAATTTTTTGAACTAATATTTTATTAAACTAAAAACAGCCTTAAAAACAGTAAATAATTTGTTCCAAACTAAGCCTACAAATAACAAACACAACATTAAAGATTTCATCACCATTTTTTATTTTTCTACAAGTTGGGTTAACCAGCATTTTCCAAGATAAAGCCGAACAATATATATATTATACTACTTATCGTGATAAACCGACAGATATACTCACCCCCATCTTCCTCATCGCTTCGCATACTCAGACCATTCCACCGTTGACTCTGATGACTTGCCCATTAACCCACTCCCCTACATCCGAGCAAAGAAACCCTACCACCGGTCCAATATCCTCCGTCGCACCAAGCCTCCCCATCGGATTCATCTCCGCCGACCTCTTCACTTCCTCCTCCGTCTTCCCAGCAAAGAACATCTCCGTCGCCACAGGCCCCGGGGCCACACAGTTCGCCGTAACCTTCGTCCCCTTCAGCTCCTTTGCCAAAATCTTCACCATCGCTTCTACCGCCGCCTTCGACGCCGTGTACGCCCCATACCCCGGCCGATTGATCGCCACCAGCGACGTCGAAAGCGCAACTATCCTTCCGCCTCCGCCCCGCACGACTCGATTGGCGGCTTCCTGAAGCACGATGAAGGCCCCGCGGGCATTGACGGACATGATTGAGTCGAAATCAGCGATCGGAATAGAGGAGATGGGGTGGTAGTTGGGGTCGAGGATTCCGGCAGAGTGGACGACGATGTGTGGGGGAGAGTTGAAGGCTTGTTCGGCCAGATCGAATACGGATCGGACAGCGGCCGGATCGGACACGTCGGCGCGGAGGGGGATGGCGCGGGGGGTGGCGGATGAGGAGGAGGAGGAATTGATTTCGGCGGCGAGGCGGTCGGCTTCGGCGGAGCTGGATGAGAAGACGAGGCCGACGGAGGCGCCGAGAGATGCGAGGTGGAGGGCGATGGCGCGGCCTATGCCGCGGGTGGCGCCGGTCACGATGGCTACGCGGCCGTTCAATGGGAGAGACATGGCTGCTTTGCTGCAGCCTTGAGGTTTTGGATGCGTAATGGAAAGGATTGGTTTGGATTACTTTATAGGAAGAAGACCCCATACTTTATAGATTTGCATATTATTTTTTTATATTTGCGAATATCACATCATATTTAATTTTTTTTTTACATATATGCCAATTAAAACAAATTCAAACAGTCAGCAAATACATAAAATTTAAATTAAAATACCTTAATTGATAGCCAAAATTTTCAACTAACATGCATATATTTGACTATTTGGTCCACAAGTTCCAGTAATGATGAAATTAAGAGTGATTTTTTAATTTTTATTTGAAAATTTGACTAAGCTCAGGTTAGACTCGAGTCCAAACTTGGCTTAATCCGAATCGGTTCGGGCTCGAGTCGGCGCGACGGATCAAATTGCATGAAATTAAATTTAAAACCAATACTAATTTAAATTAAATCGAGCTCGACGCAATCAAAATAAAATAATCGAGTCTAATCGAACATAGTCGAGTCAAATTCGGCTCGAGTCGAGTCGATTCGAGCTCGAATCGGGCTCGACGGAGTTCGATTAAATCAACCGCAAGCGCTCAAGGATATACGAACTAAAACGAGGTCAACAGAGATATATAAAGTTTAATGTCTTAGCATTATACGAAAATCTGGCACACAATTAGATAAGAGAGAGGGTCTAGCATTAAAGAGACCCCAAGATTTTTACGTGAAACACCCCCCCCCCCTTGAAAAAGGGAGAAAAATTATGAGGCCTAGCCTAGTTTGAATGAATCAACTAGTATTGCAGTTGGTTACAAATGAGGCCCTCCTTTGGAGGAAGGCCTTAACTTGATATACATCTTATAGAGTACATTACACGATGAGAATACAAAGAGTCACTATTGACGTGTTCGTTTGGTCGGAAGGACCGTAGTCGATGCGCGATGTATGTAGGAAGGACCGTAGTCGATGGGCGACGTATGTCTGAAGGACTGTAGTCGGCGGGAGACGGAGGTCAGAAGGACCATTTTCTAAAGACGAATGTCAGAAAGACTGTAGTCGGTGGGCAACGTAAGTTAGAATGACCGTAGTCGGCGGGTGATGGAGGTCGGAAGGACTGTTATTGGTGGGCGACATAAGTCAGAAGGACCATATTCGACAGACAACGGAGGTTGGAAGGACTGTAGTCGGTGTGTGACATAAGCCAGAAGGACCACAGTCGACGGGCGAAGGAGGTTGGAAGGACTGTAGTCGGTGGGCGACATAAGTCAGAAGGAGTGGAGTCGGTTGAAAGAGCGTAGTCGACGGGCAACGGAGGTCAGAATGATCGCTGTCGGTGGGTGACATAAGTCAGAATGACCATAGTCAGCAGGCGATGGAGGTCGGAAGGATGGCGTCAGGTAGAAGTCCAATAATGGATAGAAATCTAACATCATATAGATGTCCGGCGAAAGTCCGACAACCGATAGAAGTTTGGCGTCGGGTAGAAACTCGGTGACGAGCAAAGATCCGGTATCGGGTAGAAGTCCGACGTCAGTTGGTAGCCAAGGAGAACTCCGGGGTTAGATGGTATTCAGGCAGAACTCCGGCATCACTTTGGAGTTCGGGTAAACTCTGGCATCACTTGAAGGTCAAGCGGAATTCCGACGTCACTTGGAGGTCAGACAAAACTTTGGCGTCACTTGGAGTTCGGGTGGAATTCCGGCGTCACTTGGAGTTCAGGTGGAACTTCAGTATCACTTAAAGGTCGGACAAAACTCCGGCGTAACTTAGAGTTCGGGGTAAACTCCAGTGTCACTTAGAGGTCGGACGGAATTCTGGCATCACTGTGAAAGTCGAACAGAATTCCGACGTCCTGTGGAAGTCAAACAGAATTCTAGCGTCCCGTGGAAGTCGGGTAGAATTCCGGCGGTGGTCGATGAGGAGTTTCTTCCCTGCTATCCTTCTCCTCTTCTCTTCTCCTCTTCTTACTTGGGTCCCATCTCAAGAGAAATGAGGGGTCTATTTATAGATTTATGGAGTGGCATGGCCTGTAAATAGGTGAGAGATCAGGGGCAAAACTGGAGTGGTTTGAATGGACGGCCGATATTGAATCTCTTAATCGTGGACTATTCGTTAGACATTTGAAGGTCTTAATGATGTCAGAATTCAGTAATCTTGGGCTTGTTGGATTTGTTTCGTCGAGCTGCTCAAATCAACTATAAGCACGTTATGTTTGAAAACTGTTTGGTAACTCAAATTGTGGTTTGAACTTTCCAATAGTGCTTTGGGTCCTTGATTTGGACTCATTTGGGCTCGGATTGAGTTGAATAAATGTTGTTTAGTTTGTATTTTTGAGACGATCAATTCGACTGTAAGTTTGCTGAAATCAGAGTTCAGATGATCCCAGATTTAATTTTTGAAGTTTCCAACTTAATTTTTGCCTCGAGATTTGTGCCCTATCAAGATAATTTTTTGATGATATATCAAGTATAGTCATGCCATAGAAGTGCATGCAAAAAAGCTATAAAGTTAGAATGCGTGCACACGTGAGAGACACTCATGGAACGGGAAAATCATAACATCTTTCATACCTATCACCCGTCAAATCAGTGGCGGAGCCAAAAATTTTATTTAGGGGGGGCCTAAATTAAAATAGTTATGTTTGTCGTCTAATATGAAAAGTTAAAATACATTAAAATAGTTCCGTTTGCGACTTTTTTTTTTTAAAACACCACTTTCTTTGAGCTACATTTGTCATACCATGCATTTTATTAACTGCACTAGCATCTAATGAATCTCAATTCTCTACAACCAAAGCCTTCTAAAAGAGCCAAAAAGTGAGCATAGACAGAAACCTCAATCTCTGTTAATTGTGGAAGTTGAAAATGTTGTTATGGAATAATACATTAGTAAATAACCTAGAAAATTTAAACCACGAAGTTTCATCTTTCTCACTCGCACTACCTTGCGCATCCCCTGCACTGTTGGCATCAGCTTGAGACCCTAATCCCCTGAAAGGCCATGGCAGCGATATCCTAAACCTCTGCTCCATCGGGTTTGACCGTTGCCCATTGGCATTCTGCTCCTCAGATCCCGCAGGTGTCCCACTGTTGGATTTTTTCAAACCAAACGATGCGTTGTTTGAGTTTAGTTTATTTTATTTTCATTACTAGACAGTTTTAAAAACAGTTTTATTTTTTTTTTTGTGTTTGCCTGTATTAGTATCCCAAAGAAAAAAAATTGTGTACGCTCTCTCTGTTTTGTTCTCCGTAAAAGACAGAAGTTTTTTTTTTTTGCTCTGTTTTTTTTTTCTTCTTCTTCTGCCCGTGAACAAGAAAGTTTTTTGTTTCGTTGATCCGTGTGATATCCAGTGAACAGAAAATTTTATTTGTTCTATTTTATTTTGCTTCCATCACCCACTTGAACCGCCAGAACCCGCAATCTCCATCTCCACAGTCGACGTTGGCGCTTCGTTCCTATCACTCTTTCGCTGCTCATAGTCCTGATCATCCGTTCGGAGCTCGTACCGGAAAATTGGACAAGAGTTGGAGTTCCAAGCCATGGCAAAATGCAGTCCTTGTGGAATACATGCGTGCAAGGAAGGTGCTTGGCCACTTCCGCCGTCTCAAAAGACTCTTTGCAAACGGCACACTGCGACTCATCTGAATTTTTTTAGGGGGGGCACGTGCCCACTCTGGCCCCCCTGGCTCCGCCTCTGCGTCAAATCATAATGTTTCAAAGGTTGTGACACAAAATAAAACATGCAATTAATAAGCAATTATGTTATGTACAAGATCTATCAATGATCATAGGACTGAGCGAAGAAAAAGAGTTAATGCTAATTATCTCACTAAACAAAATTGATATTAATAGATTACTTGAATTAAAAAAAAAAAAACAATTCATGCTTATCCAAAAATTTATCTTTAAGAAATGGAAAAAATATAGAAACATATTATATAAGAATATATTGCAATAATAACAAAAAAATCATTTAGTTTAAGAGATAATAGATTACAATAATAATAAAAGAAGTTAACAATCATACGTGTCTTGAAGAAATGAACTACATATATCATAAAAAGTAGTATATTTAGTTTAAGAGAATCAAAAAAAGGAATGCTACTCTAAGGATATTTTAGTAAATCAATCAGAATTATTAACTATTTTACTCAATTCTTAAACATATCATTTCTTTTAAGACCCATAAAGTTAATGCATTTTTTAACCCATTTTATATTATTTTATATAAGAGTGATGTTATTGATATACAAGAATTGCTAGATTTGATTTATCATTCAAAATTCATAAAGTACATATTATCTATTTATATCTATTATTTATCATATGGCTCAGCAACACAAATCAATAGAGTCACGATAAGCCTAAAAAAATTCTGGCTCCGCCACTAATTGAGGCACATAATAATGTCATTTTGTTAAGATTATTTCATTTAATAAGAGTGTTGGGTAATCATATATTTCTTAGGAAAATTTAAATATAACTTATTTTTAAACATGTTCATTCAAATAAATGCATTAGAAAAGCTCACCTATTATGATGCCTAATATGTGTCGTATTTATCCACAATTTCTATCAAAATAAGGTAAAAGAGTCATTATTTTTTTTCCCTTGTCTTTGCTAAGGTTTCCTATATCCCTCCTCCTGGAAGTTCTTGTCGCCTCTGTTCGCAGGGAAGTCTCCTTATTTTCTTCTGGTTTTTTTCATTTCTTTCTTGGTTCGTCCACATCCGGCCTATAGTGGCCAGAATGATTGTGAACCATCTGGCTGATCCGGGTTTCTTGGGTGGATAGTTCAAATCTTGCTCGTTTGTTGATGCTCTCATTGGTATCTCCTTAAATGCTAGGTTTCCTAACTTAAAATCCTCTACATTTCGGGGTTTGCACTCTCTTTGGATCTTGGATGAGGAGGTCCTTGCTATTTAGAAGTTCTTCAACAACCTCAAGTTGATTGGAGATTTTTCAATGACTATTTTGAATACATCTCATGTTCTGGTTAAATTGGTAAATAACCTAGACTATATTTGAATTTTTTTGTATAGATGCTACTTTGTGACAATTGCTACATGAAATTAACTAATTGG